TATATATATACACATACATACAGTACTTATAGGGCCCTGAGCCTGCCTGTTGGAGCACGCCAATACCTTTATTCCCCATGAATGTCCCTTGTGTTTGAATTATGTCAAATCATATTCCCTTTTATATCCAACAATGTCATTTGACAGGTGATCCTATGTACTTAAATCCTGTAGAACTAAAAGTCTTAAGGATGTGAGTATAACTTCAAAAACAACATTTACAGCTCATTGTTGCGAGTGAAATCTAAATTTTACTTTGTGCAGTCTCAGTCAAAAAAGGTGATCAATCAATATCACCTTCACATCAATATTAAAATGAAATGAGCTTGTTAATTTGCTGGGAATCTATGACACAAACAGAAGTTAGCCATGCAGCACCAAAATTAGGTTAATTCAAACACTGCCCCAAGGCTATTTCCTGGCTATGTCAAAATTTAGCCAATTAACTCAGTAGAGCGATGCTACCAATTTGTAGTGAACTGAATTTTTGTATTCTCTGAATAGTAAAGCCCCCAAATCTGCATTCAGAAAATATATAATGTTGGGGGGTTTTAAGTAATTTTCAGGCCTAAAATGTGGAATATAACATGGGTACAAAAAAATGAAAAAAAAGGCCTCAGTCATGAAGGGGTTAAGAGACAAACTACATAGAAACAATTTAAAAAGCTTTATAAAACTATACATTTCCTATTATCTTCTCTAACAGGGGCATCTAACACTACAGTCACCTGTAGCAATGGCTGGAAGACAGTCAAACAGATCATCAATTATCACCAAGGCACTTATCAGATGAAGAATTAGCTTGCAGGAAGCATTGTAAACTTACATGACAATGACGCTGGCTGTGCTTGAGTGCTCCATCAACAACTCATTTAACCGGATCTGTCGGTGTGTCTAGTGCAGAGCAAAAAAAACAATCAGAACAGCAAATATTCCAAAAGCGATAGTTGGGTCATAAAGTTCATAATCACTGATTTGTTCTAAATATACAGACATCGGTTTACTACACTGTCCCCTACTTGCAAATTACACTATCATTGGGACGCTGCCCCCTTCTTCCCTGCCTTCCCCAGCCCTGCCTTACAGCTACAGACAGTTTTGAGGACAGGGTGAGTCCACCGCACAAGCCGGACACACGCCCGCAGAGCATGCCACCGCTGCAGCGACTTACAAGGGTTCAGAAACAGGTAAGGGGGACCTATTTTAATGTTTCCTGTTAAAAAAAAAAAAAAGCGGCACACTGCAGAACACAAGCAGCTATAGAGGAACACCAAATCCCAGCAATAATACATTGAACAGCCTGTATAATGTATTATTGCTGGGATTTGTTGTTCCTCTATAGCTGGTGGTATTCTCCATTGCGCTGTATAATGTATTATTCCTGGGATTTGTAGTTCCTCTATAACTGGTTAGTGGTAATCTGCATTGTGCAGTATAATCATTACACAGCGCAATGGAGAATACCACCAGCTATAGAGGACCACAAATCCCAGCAATAATACATTACATACAACACAATGCAGAATACCAGCAGTTACAGAGGACTACAAATCCCAGCAATAGTACATTATAGTATAATGCACTATTGCTGGCATTTGTTGTATTCCTCTATAGCTGCTGGTATTCTGCATTGTGCCGTATATTCATTATACAGCACACTGAAGAATACCACTAGCTACAGAGGACTACAAATCCCAGCAATAGTACATTATATACAGGGCAAAGCAGAATAACGCCAGCTACAGAGGACTACAAATCCCAGCAATAGTACATTATAGCATAATGTACTATTGCTGCTTTCCTATAGAGCTGCTGGTATTCTGCACTGCGCTGCTGTATAATGTACTATATTGCACACCACACTCTTTTTTTACGCCAAGCTTGCTGCCGTGATGGACTACAATCTTAATACAAACTAGTAGTCCATCACCGTAGCCTTTTTTTAAAATCCGATTAATCGAACTTAATAATCGGCTAACTAATCGATTATGAAAATAATCGTTAGCTGCAGCCCTAGTTTATTGGTAAAAGGTGATGAACATTTTCAGAATACATAACAATAAAATGAGATAACGGAGAGCTGAGCACAACTCATAGGCAGCAGAGTATATAAACTTTCCCTGCGATAACCTGACTGTATATGGAGCTGTGAGGGAGCCCTGTGTACAACTCTTTTTTAAACATTCTTTAACATGATAAAACTATCCAGATGCATGCATAGATAATAAATACCTTTGTTTTGTACAGCTCTAGCTCATTATCTGTTATTCTCCATGGTTCTTCTTCTTTCATTTTGTCAGCTACATCTTGTTCTTTTTCATCTTCATGAAGTCTAAACGGTTCAATCATCTCCTCAAAGGCTGCAACACTGAAAGTCAAAGGGACGTATATAAACACAAACCATGTAGTAAAAATATCAATGACAGCTCAGATTCCCCAAAAAAGTCATGCTCCACAAGGTCATCTACAATACAGGTTTTTGGGGGTTTAGTCTAATAAAGCCAGCTCTTCACCATGGTCAATAATAACACCATCTTGAAAGCAAATCATCTTTGTTCAATTAAATTTGATTAGACAAATAACTAATTTGATGTGTTGGCATCCCTGGGAAAAAAGATCATTCCCATACAGATTTGTCATGTGAAATGACAAATCTGGTTGATGAAATTAAACAAGCGGCAGAATAATATTTTAGGGGGATGATAGGCTCAGACACTTGCCAAATCCCAGATCTGCCACAAGTGATCCTGAGAAAAACAAAAAGGTCTGGAAATAAAACACAGCTTCTAAACATGACTTGGAACAATTAGCTTATTTGGCTGGTTCCTTGCGTGTTTTAGGTGATAAAGGAAAGGTGTCACAGCTTTGAAATGGCTTTTCTCGAGAAGTGCATATTTAAATGCTAACAAGATTACAGGATAAATTGTGAAATTAGTTTTAGAAGGTTTCTCTCAAACCTCCCTTGTCTAGCCATAAAACCATCACATGATATATAGAACGGATAACAGACGTACAACAACTTTAATTTAAAATATGACCTCTGCTGCCATGTCCCCGGTCAATAAATATTCCAGCAATCTGCACAATACTCCGTACCATCTGCTCTTACACTGACGTTGTACCCTTCCTCAACATATGTGCCTTATGATATCTTTGTGCAGTGTAAGTTATACAACTATCAAAAGAGCCATAAAGTATAATCATAAACTGATCTCATAAACCAGTTATTGTAGGCTATACAATCCAAACATTTTATCTGCTTGTTTAAGGTTGGGCTGTGTGGAGTGTTTTATAGACCTGGCAGCCTTAAGATTGGCATGCATGGCTGACAATGTCATAAAGAGGTATAGGAATTATTTTAGAACAAAGTTGCTGTCTATGTGTCAAGAGAAATTATATCAGATAACAAATAAATACACAAACAGCAACCAAATGGCAACCTTGTTTCTTTGTGTTTAACAGACCTTTTTATCAAAATATAGCTGTAGCTCGCGGTAAACTGAGCTTAGGGTAACGGGAGGACGCTAGTTTGTGTCCTCCCGTTACCCTGAGAACTATGGGGAAAAACACTGACCCCATAGTTCTCCTTTAAGGGAAGAATTGACAATGTAGCCCACTGCAACTATATCACAATTGGCAAAAAGAAAAAAAAAAAAAAAAAAAAAAACACAAACCAAAAGAAAAGAAAAAGGAGAATCGGTTTGTAAGCTATGACACAGGTAAAGACAGACACAGGTATGATGTTAGTAACATTTTAAAATAAGCGCTCTCTTTTTTTTTTTGCTCACAAATCTGTAAATAGAATTGGAAAACTTGCAATGTCATTGGTCCTAGAGGAATGGAGCAGAGAAATGATCATGATACTTTGAAATATAGGTCAAAAGCAAGAGTGTAGAACTTGGCCTAAGTTCTGGAATATACAACCTGCCACTGGATGGCTTAAAAGGACAGATTATTATAGTGGACCTCAGCTCCAAATGTTAAGAGCAGTAGATATAGGCAAAAAAAACAGAGGGTTTAGAACCACTTTAAATGAGAAATCTAGAAATGCTAATTGTGCTAAAGGAGCACCCTCAAAGATTTATCAGTTTGCCTAAATTCTACTAGAAACATAACAGTGCACTTTGTGTACCTTGAAACTCAGAGCTGTATATTTGCAGTGTAGAAACAAAAAACAAAAAGGGCGCAACGCTAGGTGGGCTAACTGACCGGGTCGGAAGACCCAGGGAAGGTGACAGGGAGAATTATGTGAGAATGGGTGCAAAAGGCAAAAGAAAGAGCACTTACATTTTAATCTTGTTCCTTCTTGAGCTTGAAAAAGAGGTATCGCTCCTCGAAACGCGTCGCTCAGCTCACTGCCCCTCCACCCCGCTACTACCCTCTTCCCACCACAGATCCGACTGACAGCTGACTACTTTCAGCCCACGGCTCCCGCACACTGCTCCAGTCTGCGCCGTCAGTGACTGAGCATCACGATCCACAGCCGCGGCCACAGCAGTTCTGCCTGCTTCTGACACCGCTGATTTTCTCCCGCACTACTCGGCCCCTGGACTCACACAGCGGGCCACGGACTGAGTCCCCATTCTTGTGGCTTCTCTCTTCCCCCCCTCTCACCCACAGCCTCCTCTCCCCGTGTGGATGCACATCCTCCGGCACACCAGTTCCAGATAGACACCACGGATGACCCGATCCTCCACACCGGCCGTCCAGCCTCTGGTCCCATGAATTAAAATGTAAGTGCTCTTTCTTTTGCCTTTTGCACCCATTGTCACATAATTCTCCCTGTCACCTTCCCTGGGTCTTCCGACCCGGTCAGTTAGCCCACCTAGCGTTGCGCCCTTTTTGTTTTTTGTTTCTAGTTTGCATATCCACAGGCACTCTTCCTGGGCTTCAGGGCTGCACACTATTTAGGGTCACACACTGTTTACCCCCTCAACATCATTACAAGAGCGCTGTTTGTACGATTTGTATATTTGCAGTGTGAGATCTAAGGTACTGTTGCCAGTGTAATTTGGTGATGTCACAGATTTATGTGGCAGCAGCAATACATAAACAGAACAGAAACTTTAATATTCACTTTTGTTTCACATGTGCAGGTTTGCCAATTGCAAAAAAACTCAAATGTGACAAACTACCGTATTTGCCGGCGTATAAGGCGACCCCCTAATTTTCCACTTAAAACATAGGTTTTGGGCTATACTCGTCATATAAGCCTACCTCACTTCCGAGGCAACACCATTTAAAAACATCATGGATGGATGTGCGGTAATACTGTATGTACAGTAGCTTTGGCTACATACAGTATACCGCGCTGAGCCAATCACGGCGAGCAATGTATTCTATTAATGAAAACAAAGCCTGTTCCGATTGGCAGAGGTTGTGTACATCGCTCGCCGTGATTGGCTCAGCGCGGTATACTGTATGTAGCCAAAGCTACTGCACATACAGTATTACCGCACATCCAGCGGGCTGACAGATTAGGGATGTTCCTTTTGGGCCAGCTTGGCCCAAACGAACTAAAGGTATACATTGTATACCCCGCATATAAGACGACCCCTGATTTTCGGGAGATGTTTTTAAGTATAAAAAGTAGTCTTATACGCCAGCAAATACAGTATATAATTAAGTATAAAAGCTGACCACTACACCAGAGATTTTTTTTTACACTAGGTCCAACTAGAGATGTAACATTTCCGGAAATTTTGAAGCCATGAGAAAAAAAAAAGGTTTTTTTCCTGGAAAAAAATGGAAATTTTCAGAAAAACTGAAAAAAAATTCAGTGTGGAGTATTTTTACAAATTGAAAGTCATTTTGTTACACTAGGAACATGAAATGCAGTGTATATAAAAGTATTATGCTTGAAATAAAAGTACAGCTTATTCAGTAAATAAGCTAAACTTTCTTTTTATTCTTTTACTGCAAATGGAATAACAAGGACTGTATATGTTAATAACATTTCAACCATACATGAGAACAGGTAACGACCCCCTTTCCCTCAAAAGCAACAACACAAGCAAGAACATATTGCAAATTGCAGCTTTGCTCTCAGCAGAAGTTGCACTGTGGAAATGTTTCCAAACTCTAGATGTTGGTCTCACCATTTTACAGAGGAGGAAAAAAACAACTATTTACTGAGCAGACTATAGGTAAACATTATACTGTGATGGTGGAGAACATTATTAGGAATCATTTAAAGGTTATAAAGATAAACTAATTTGTCAGACAAATGTTCCCTCTTACCTGTCAAAGGCCCGAGAGGACAGAAACTATCATCTACTATTATGCCAACAATCACCCAACTGTAGGAGGTACAAGATAGAGCCCACAATCTAACTAAACTGGAGCCTTTCCCCTGCAGTGCGCCTAGTGGCAGAAATGCAGATTTCTCTTGGAGTTTGAGAACTGCATTGAGAAGTACAGTGTTACTTGAATTGTATTCCAGGATTTGCTTGTCTTCAGGTGAGAGAATGTGCAATAATTTAGGGCTTTACATAAAGTCTCAGAAATCTTTCATTAAGGTCTTCCTGTTATATAGTTTGAATACCACGTCAAAGATATATTATTTATCATTGTAAAAAACATATGCTTTTTTAATTTCAATTTTTCCGCAAACAAACAAAAACGGGTTTGGGAAAAAAAAAAACAGGTAAAAAAAACCTTTTTTCCCAATGTTTCTGTTTTTTTTCCAGCCCTTCCCATCTGTAGGTCCAACTGCATGCATCCTTTTAACATGTTCAAACCTGCTCATCATGTCATCACCATGGACGGAGCTAAGTGCATTGAACAGCACTCCCTGGAATTACTGTACTATGAATATGCAAATAAATGGAAGGGGACAGATTCAGCACCATTCCAGCAGTATAAAAGAGAAAGCTAATGTTGTCATTGTGCGTTGCAAAGAAGATGAAAGATATTATATTTTAATGAAAGCAGAACAAATGTGGTCTTATAATTACAGAATGCGTAATTACATATGAAGACGACAGCTGCCAGACCTTATTTACTGCAATGCGGAGATATGCTTCACTTTCAAAAAGAAAACCTTTAGTTATTTGAAATGTTACTATGGGTTTGGAAAGCATTTAACAGCCGGTTGTTGTGTCACATATTTTACAAGCTCATGACATTATGCTAAAACAACAAGAAGCAACTTGCTGAACTATGAGATTGTTAATAAAATCCATTAACCCCATCCACCCACAAAAAAACATGCAGCAGGCTAGGTTTCCAAACAGAATGTGTCCATCTGTATATATATCTATATATAGATATATCTATATATAGATATATATACAGACATATCTATGTATAGATATATCTATATATAGATATATATTCATAAATATCATGTAATGCCACAATGTTTATAGTTTGCCTCTGCCCAAAGGGAAAACTATCCTTTTAGTACTGGGTAGAAACTAATGTTCACAGAAAATCATCAATATATTACCATCCCAGAGAAGTAGTCTCTCTCCCCAAATAGGTATCTAACCCTTCTATGTGCAATACAGTCTAATAATCGGGTATCATGTATTGACTTTTTTCTGAGGAAATGTCACAGGAGGGGTCTATCAACACTACTTGCCTGTTGCAAGTCTCCAGTAAAGTTTGCTTAGTCTGCAACTGTCTCAACACTTTTTTAACTCTATAATGCTTGTGTAGATCGCTAAGCTGCCCTCTTCTCTTTGTGTCGTATGTGGCTTAGTCTTAAAAGCTCTAAATTTGTTTAAAAAAAAAAAAAAAATAGTGAATGTATCTGCTGAAATGTTTACGCATTGGCAGCAGTTCATACATTTCACCTGGTACTTAGAAAAACAGGCTTTTAAAGTAGTACTTCTGTAACTGTGTAATGTCAGACATCTTGTAACTGTACTGTGACTTCTGTAAAATAAAGCCAAATACATAGAGAAGCAAAAGAGAACTGGCGGAGGGGCACTCACAGGTAATTCAAAAGGTATAAAGTAAAAGATGATATTTCAAATTCTCAGTTTTGATGGGGCGCAGCACACAGCCAGGCACTGGACTGCCTGCAGCCTACACTACAGCTAAGCAGTACAGAAGCCATCCTGATCAATGAAGGAGAGTTAACCCCATATCCTCACTCTTCCCATAAGCATATACAACAGGGGTAGCCAAACTTTGGCATTCCAGTTGTGGTGCAACTACAAGTCCCACCATGCATCTGGAAGTCATGCCTTTTGCTGTCAAGAGTCTTGCAATGCCCAATGGATGGCCCTCCAGCTCTGGAGAATCTACAAATCCCATTAAGATTTGTAAGACTCTTGGCAGCCACAGTGATGACTTCCAGAATCAGATCCATGATGGAATTTGTATTTTCACCACAACTGGGGGCCAAACATTGCTACAATGTTTCACTAGTAGTTCTGTTTATGGCAACTGAGCCTCACTATCTGCAAGTTCAGACCCTCTCTCTCTCTCTCCACCAAAACATCTAACACCAAACAAACAGAAGTGGAAAATGAGTTACCAAGAATAAAAAAATAAAAAATAAAACAGAAAAAAAAAAATATGACAAGTAGATTATCACATTGTAATTATTATGTGTATAACATTATGATATTACATACTTTTCTTTCTTTGGCTTTGTGTTGATATCACCGAGGACCACGATATCAGAGAAGTCAATCCTGAACTTGCTAAGTAACGTTGCCATCCTGAAAACACACAGAGGTCAGAAAATAAGAATCAAATGACTTTCTTGATAATACTACTGTAGCTCATATCCATTTATACTCTTGACTCTTTTCTTCAAATTAACATGCAGAACTAAATATTAACAGAGAACAATTATGTAGATTCAAGGAGAAACAACTATGAAGATTTATGTTTTGAAATTGCTCTCTGCAGCAGCTAATACTAGTATCCACAAACATATATGATAAAATGCAAAAAAACACAACAAAAAAACACAAAATACAACATAATGAGATTTAAAAAAAAAACCATTACAAATCTGTCGGTGTAAATCAAACCTACATGTTGTTCTTTTATCCAATTGTCCTTGTACGTATGTAACAGGAAAAACTTTCTTATGGTTGCTGAATTGTGAATAAATGTAAGCTGCCCTTTAGGGGTCAGTTTCATGGTACAAATCATTTTGATGCCTCATTGTTGCTCACGTCATAATTTAGTCATCTTTCTTTTCATCAAAAGATCTTTTGGTGATAAAAGGGATTTTTTGCTTTAAGCTCAAAGTAAGACACCACTTTGAACAGCAGCCTTTCCCACACTCCTCAAACAAAAATAACAATTTAATGGTTCATAATCATGTAAATACTGGCGGTGGTAAGGGACAAATTGGATTACATTAGCACAGCTTTAATCTTGGCTCCTGGGAAGTTTATACTGTAGGGCACAGCCACATGTGTAATTTGTATTTTCGCTACTGTGATTTAAATTTTCCTGCAGTACTTTGCAGAATCCACCACAAACACTCACCATCTCAGTGACAAAAGGCCCCTCTCCGACTTACTACACAGTAGTAGAAATATATGAATTATTGGCATTGCACACATTTAGTCAATACCGTAATCATGAGCAATTACCACCTGTAATTAATAATGTAGCAGGATGAATAGGGGGCCACTGTCATAGGGTAGTGGGTAATTGATGTTGTTTTCTGCACTAATTGTTGTAGGCCTTTAAACCTTCATTAGTATAAATTCTTTACAAGCAGTCATGCCCTTATCAAGATTTTTTCCCCAAATACAGCACACTATTATATAATAGTAATGTAATACTAGATTACACTCTTCTTCCTCTGATGTATGTAGTGAGGCTTGTACAAAATAGACAAGCATTTTAAATGTTACCTAAATAAACTGATTTTATGACCGCAACTCACTGCTGGCTGAAAATGTCAAACATGGGTAGATAACAGATATTTATTGATTTATTTAGAATACTTTTCATCACTACATCAGTTTTACCCTGTAGCACCCATAAAAGAAGCAAACCTGACAAACTAAAGAAAAGCTGATCGACATTTTAAATGTTACACACAACAGGGTGACTGCCATTGCCTTTGTTAACCAGAAAAGCCTAACCAATAACAGATCTAAGAAAACACTTTCAGTGGTATATTTAGAGTATTGGGAGAGTAAAATGTACTCTTCCTAATAATTAGAGCTGGCTTGTGACACTGCAGCTGTCACATGCTATCTCTAGAGCTCGGGAGCTGAGCGATCACGAAGCACTGATGTGTTACATAATCAAAATAACAATTTGCAATTTTCCTCACAGTGTTAGCGCAGTTTTAAAGAAAACATTCCAGCAGATCAATGTCAATGAAATTATGAGAAGAGAACAATTAATAAAAAGAGATGACTTTGTACCATAGCAACATTGGCATCTATCAGTGCTGTAAGCCAAAAAAAACTAACTTGAAAAAATATAGAAAAGGGAAAAAAAAAACACATACGCTCTGCGGTCGTGGTCTATCCTGTTTATTTTTCCACCAATAAAAACTCTGATCTTGCAATCACGCCACTTCTTTTTTGTAGTAAACAGATAAGGTATCAGCAATGTAAGACCTGGGCAAAATGAGAAAGAGAATGAGAGGAGCAAAGGTTGGGATGACATTAAAGAAAAACAAATGACATATGTAAACATGTGATCTCATCATGGAGAGCAGCTGGTGCTCTTCAGTCAACCCCAACATACAGACAATCTCTGGTATAACGTAAATGACATCCCCCTGGCCACTCTTCTCACCACTTACCAAAACACTCTCTAGCAACCAATAAGCAGCACAGATTTGAACCCTTCAGAAAATGTTCCGCTTCAATCGGCTGCAAAACACAGCTGAATCTTTCCTCAGGGAGCAACAATGGGAATGAGGTCAAACAGCGCATCAGATGAAACTAAACAGGAATCAAACAGTGAGCAGTAACGAAGATCTGATCAGCTGCAGAGTCCATGAACTTTTGTTCTCAGGCCAAGGTCTACAGAACCTGCTGTGTATTACTGCCGGGAGTGTGGTCCAAGCTCACCAGCTGATTCAGCACTGTTTTCAATGGCAAGCAATTTCTGAAAGTGCGACATGCACATCCCATTATAAGCTGCCCCCCTGCCTACAGGACACTTCCTGAGTTATCATGGCCATTAGCCATATTAAATCTGATACTATTAGTGTGGTGAAGATTATCAAAGAACGGGAGGGTGAATCCTTATAAATCATTGAGGTCCCCTCCCTAGTGAATATAAGAGTTTCTTCATGAAACTGTACAATATTACAAACTATTCTATACATATATTCTTACATTTTCACCATTAGCTGCTGGTAACATTACTATTATCAACAGGTGTGTCACTAACTAAAAGGTGTCATTTTTCCATGAGCTGAACAAAGAAAATATTACAGATACTTCCATTAACGCTTACGAGCGTTGACCGAGGAATCTGCCACTGCCTGCATTGTATTTGTGGCCGCTGTCAGAATACCCAAGCAGGGCTGGCAACTCACTGGCTGCTGGCTCTATTTGTTCGAAGATTTCCCGACCGGCTCTATCGATCAGCTAGTTCATCAAGAACAGGACGAAATTCGTAGTGTATGGCCAGCATGTGTAGAATCAGAGTGCAGGCTCCTCATTTACTCTGTTTGCCTAATGGCGCATTCACCTAACCTGGGTATACAGGGTTAGAATTTTGTTCAAAAACATTAGATGTCGGAACGTTTGACGTTTGACTTTTAATAGTCAAGGGAGTCAAAACATTTCCAAAATGGAATATTCAAAACAAACAACATTTTGAAGGACAATCATCAAGTCTCTGATTACATTATTGAATGTTCTGATGAGATTTTTTGTATGATCGTTCGTATGAAAATCTACCAGTGCATGGCCAGCTTTATTATGATGTGCAGAGAAGAAAAAAATAATATGCTTTTCGCAGGGCTACTGAATACTTGCTATTCACTTCTGACATCATGCTCACTAGTAAATTAAATTACACATTAAAATTGTGTCTTCATCCTATCCTGACCTTTTAGCCTCCACTCCCGTTTAATCACATTAGTTCTTCAACGCGGTCTCCTGCTTGCCAGGGGTGTGTGCACGGCACACAAAATGTGAACATCTGACCATAAGAAAATTATGTACTCTTAGTTCCTATGATTATACAGGACAATTGCTTGGCTGTGAGATTATCTGACTGCTACCTCATGTGTATGGATATCCCTAGCCCTGCTCAAGAGACCAGTAATTACCACAACCTTTCTACTTAGGGAATCCTTCAAAATATGACCTGCTGCAGGTACATGAGGGTTGAATCTAAAAAGCACTGCAGCGGCCCATAATTTAATTTGATCTACAAAATTAGCAAGTAATACATGGTAATGAAACAAAAATTGCATGTTTTATGCTTTTGTAAACTAACGTTGCAACTATGGCAACACAATAAAATAAAAAGTCAATATGTTGATTATTTGGAAAGCTATTTTGTTATTATATCCAGCTAATCCTGGGATGATGTAAACACTAGATGGCAGTGTTTTGCTGAGGCTGCAAGGGGGAATAAGCAAGGTGACGGCTACTGCTGATTTCGATAAATAGCAATCTACAGGAAACGTCAAGTCCTTGGTGTAAAAAATGCCTGTCTTACTAGAATGCATTGTAAACATACAACATTTCTATCAGTGGTCCTTTTGCCTGGAACCGAGCATCGTATTTGAGCCTGCATATAGCTACCTCCATCATCAAAGAGCCACCACACATCAACGGTACTTTTGCCTTGCTTTCTCTGGAACTGTAAACTGGCATCCAGAAGTTTCTGGTCTGTAGTATTTAGAGCTACACCTCGTCCTTTGGAGCCTGCAAACACAGGAAACAAAGATAAAACAACAACAACAACAACACACAGCAGTTATTTAACCACAAAAGAAGTTAAAAGAAGGAAGTAGTAAGTGAATTGTATGTCTGGTAACACAGCCAAGATTACTTCTTTTTCTTCTACAGTGTTCAATCCTCCAGTCACAACTTTCATACCAAAGCAGGCTATACTGACAATAACAGTTCATGTATAGCTCACTGTATTCCTGAGCTACATTGGGAATATATCGTACAGAACGCGAATGGAAAACAGCAATGTCTTTATGATAAGCCCCCCCCCAATATTCTCTTCCCACGCCATAACAAAATATGCTCAGTGCCTGAAACAACTGGTACAGGTAACTCTACTGATGAGCTTACAAGTAACAAAAAAACCTAAACTTCATATCCTAGGCAAGCAACCCCCATGGTAATATTCCACCTCCTCTCCTGATCCTTATTTGCCTTCAGTGGGGAAGGTGAATACAAATAAACACTGAAGTACACCACTTTTTCTGTAAGATCGATATACTCAAGAGGGTGGGTGTCCTTTGTAAAGTATCTAGTACTCTTGGAAAGAATGAAATACAAGGATCTAGAGCACTACTGTCTTTGTGCGTAGACTTAAGGAACCTAGCTACAATTTTCTTTTACATCTGATTTGTTTCCGTTCCAAAAAAAATAGATAATGTACCATCATCTTTGATGATGGTACATTATCATTGAATTTATCAGTAAAAATCAAAAACACACAAAAGGGACCTACATAGCTCACGTTACCTATAATCATACTCGTAATCATCCTCAAATAAACTGCATTGAAAGATTACATGTTCCAGTTTCACCATGTTGTACAAGCAAAGCATAAATGAAAAAAAATCAGATTTAGCATGTTCACATATAAACAATATGGGAAAGCCTGAGAAAAGTGTATTAAACTACACAGTCGGAAAAAAAAAATATACAAAAATGGGAATAAAAAAAATCTGAACCTGAAAACAAAAAAGCCAGGTTTTTGCCTCATAATTGAGTATAGTCAGCAGACCAAATCTTGTTCTCTGCCTAGATCTCACTTTTATACAAACATTGAAATGCATGTCATGGCCAAGAAAAGAAACTCACAGAAAACACTAAAGAAACATACAGAAAGGTCACAGGAAATCAAGAAAAGATTAAAAGACTAAGAAGGGATGTAGCCAAAACAAAAGTGATAATGCCTGCCTTTTTTCAAAAGAGGTTGTGTAGGTGTTTTCCCATCGTCTTCATCATCTGGATATTATTTAAAAAAGAAAAATGAAAAGCAATGTTATTTGTGTTTAGCTATGTTAAAATCAACAAAAAGAAAGGTAACTCTTAGGCTTGGGTCCACATCCTTCTGTGTGCATTGTCCTGCATTTCAATGCCCTTGTTCTTAAGCATGAACTTTGGTACTTTGTTAGGGTCTGTTAGCCAATTAAATGCTGCATAAAATTGAGGTTACTATAGAAGGGGGGGTTACCATGCACTGGAAATGCATCAAAATGCACTTAAAAATGGACCTGCACTTTTTTAACCAATGCACCTTACCGGAGCTCACAGATGTGAACTAAACACCGGCAAAGCTGAGTGCAATCATTAAATTGCAAAGGTGTGAACATGTTAGTTCACCAAACATGGTTATTTCAGTTGTTGTACACGATAACTAGTTACATCACTCACTGGTTTCTTTTATCCTTTAAGGACTGATATCTCTTCACTTCACACAATGCTTACCTGACTCAGCAGGTTTAAACAAAAGGGGGTGGGAGTTGGCAAGGGCTGGGCATTCCACTGGGGAAAACTCTCTATTAAGAGTCTCTAAAAGCCATAAGAAGTTGGTCGATAATTCAACTGCCCAGTATCATGCCACAACTAAAATAGACTGACTGACCCTTAATAGAAAAATTATAAATGTGTTGTAAAAAGGAAACATAAGGCAAATTATGTAAAATCAAAATGAAAATATTCTACTTTAAGAGTGTCAGTGATCTGCATGATGGGTGTGACAACATTACCACACAATGTAGGTGTCCATGTTTTGTTTATGATGAGTTCTGTTCATTCACTCGTTACAAATGAATTGGAGAATTTCCTAGCGTAAAAGCCCAGACTCAACAAATGAAGCATGCCTTCCATAACCTCTTAGCAGTGTAGGAATCACAGTGTCAGAGATGCCTATGTCTCAAAATCCAGACTTTAACAGTCATGCTGTTAAATCCATGACGATGCAGCAGAATGGCAAACCGATCCTTGAGACAGAAAACCCTGGCAATTTGGCAAAGCCCGTGGAGTGCACACCAGGAATCTCACAAAGTTGGTGTACCACATGTGCCTAAGCTATTCCGGAGCAACAATGAGGATCACCAAAATGCTTTCCATCTCAATCCTGCGAGGAAGAAGCTTCACGGGAGGAAAGGCATAGATAAGGGTGTAATGGTCCCACTGAGCCACCAGAGCATCCACTGATTCTGCTAGAGGACACCTTTACATGCAGACAAGCCTGTCCGTTTGGTTTGAGGCCACGAGGACTGACGACCCCCACCTGCAAAACAGGTCTTGGTACACCCCTGGATGTAGGGACCCCACCCCCAAGTCCAGGTGCTGTCGTCTGTGGAAGTTTGCCTGCCAACAGTATATGCCTGGGATACAAAGTCTATGCCACAGTGGTATTGAAGTATTGAATCTAGATCAAATGACCATCCAGTAGGAAGGTTCAATGATGCACAGACAGCCAAATAACCTGAAGCTCCAGGATATTCACTGGGAGATAAGATTCCTCAGACGACTATGTTCTCTGCACCGAAGGTGCCCAGAACTCTTCCTCAGTCTGGCATCCATTGAGAGGTTTTTCCAAAAGGCAGAAAATACTTTCTTGATTTCAGAGCTGAATTCCTGAGCCACCAAGTCAGAGACAACCTGGTCTAAAGTGCCAAACGAATCGGTCAATCTGTCGAGGGATATGAGTGACTTGCCCCACGATGACTGACTGTTGCGCTGTAGAGGCCTTTGGTGAATCTGGGCACAGGGGAATACCTTGAAGAAGGTTACGATCAAACCCAAGACTCTAAAGCAAAAGTGGAGAGTTGGGTGACTCCTGGACTGGAGAGCTCGAGTCTGAGATAGGGGAGTCTGAAGTCTCTTCTGTGCTAGAAAGACTATTGTGTAAGCTGTATCCAGAACTAGACCCAGATGCTGCTGAGAAGATGGGAGCTCTTGCCACCAGCAGTGTCCTTGATAATGGTAGACAAGATCGTAAAAGATATTGGCCCTCAAAGGCCACGCACACGTTCTGCATTGCAGCAGTGTCCTACGCATGTGTACTGCCATGAGACCCATGCAGGAGATAAGCGGGGAACACATTGCAACTAAATTTTAAAGCGTTAGCCATTTGTGCCACACATTCTATAGGCAAGGGGTCAACCACAGCAGTGGTTAGATCCCTTTTAAGTGATTTCGACTAGTCAGTCATTGTCTGGCAAAGTAAAGTCACAGCTAAGATGGGGTGAAGAGGAGGACCTGCCAGCAAGAACAGTGGCTTATCCTCCAATAAAACTAGCAAAAATGCTGGTAGGAGAGGTTATCTTGAGCTCGCCTATATAGTTGTTTTTTGTTTTGGCAGTTGTCCAATCCTCCTGTAATAGCAGTATAACCGAAATGTGAAAGACTTTCTGTGTTACTCAATGGATGAACAAGAAATACAACTTTACAGTGACTTTTTTTTAAGTTTCAAGTGCATACCTTTTCTCATCATAGGACTTGTGTCACTTGAGAACTGTTTCGAAGACTCTGCCTCAGCCTTTTTACTGTAGTCTACATTTACGATCACATCTTTGACACCAGGTGACTTCTCTTGAGATGACAGTAATTCCTCTGGAGAGATAAAAACAAAGAAAAATCCAGATTACAAAAATAATCACAGAGAAATATATATATATAAAAATCTATGGTCTTTTTTTATAAATTCTTTTATTGAACAGGTTTTCAAGAATACATGCAACAGAAAGTAAGGGACAAAATTTCCAATACCAAAGCAGTGGACTTTACGGAGAAAGAGAGATACCCAGCTCCCTCTCCCACCCCTCCAGGTATGGCAGGGATGACTCAAAGTCTGGGGCCAACAAGAGCTGATAGCACAATGAGAGAGGTCTCATCAGCGAACTGGTAGAGGTGCATTCTCTCTCGAAACTCGTGAGGGGCCTGGTCAGTTCCGCTGGCGGCGGTAAAGATGCCAAGAAATGCGTCAGTTGGCGGTGACGCCAGAAAAAACTCTATGGTCTTGATACAAAGGGCACGTATGCACAATTGGGCGATTATTACTGACATTATCCTACTAGAAGGTTTTGGAATGTGGCAGGAAACTAGAACACATAGGAAGCTGACAAACATATTTACACATGATAGCGGAACTTCTACGTAACAGCTACACAGGCTTCCAGATCTCTGACCACAAAAAGATAAAGGCAGTTAATCTCCACCCATTCAGCAGTACTGCCAATGATATATGTATAAATAAGGACACAAAAGAAAAACTGAGCCACAATTCACTATTCTGAGATTTTCACGATCCAATAAAGCTCTCTAGTTGCCTCCAGAATGATAAATAATCATGGTAAACATGTCAAGTATAACTGATGTCTTTGTCAAATTCAAACTCACATGGATTTTTTTTGTTAGCTGGTCACATTTGCACATTTCTGTATCATATGGATAAAGTTACTAGCTGCAAGCAACAGAAGCCTTGCAAATTTTACAAGCATCAATAGCCATCTAATCTCTCTAGTCTCTATAAATAAGGAGGGCCTCATCTGTACACAGATTACACAAGAAAATTTACAGCAGGTAATATTGCGTGTATATGCATGTCATAGGAGTATGAACCCGAAGGAAAAATTTTGCGCAATATAAATCTTTACTTATACATGTGTCAATTCAGTTATTCAGCTCCTGTTTATCCCTCCCTATCTGTTTAAGTCCAGGGTAAGTCACATTGTTAACCATGTAGCCTAGTTTGGAATCTGGGACACTGGGTTCTAAAGGCAATTTGACCTCAATAGACTTGGGCAGCTATTGATTAGGTAACTATTGATCAATTAGCTTCCACTTGGACAAGCTAAACAGATTTGTAGTAATTATTTCAATGACAATATGCATCTAGGCCAGCAAAAAGGGATGATACTGAAAGTATGAAAATGTGAAAAGTGTTGCAATACAGCACTATTTACACAAAGATAAACTACAATAGTCAAACTTTGTTATAGCAGTTTAGGAAAGTCTGATTTCGCCAGTTTATAAATTGATCATATTTTAAAATCCTAATAAAATCTGAGAGGATACCGATTTCACAGTGTAATCTATGGGTGGAGATGTGTGCTAACACTTCCATTTACCAGTGTGTAGTATTTAATGGTTTCCTGCAGTCGGAAGGCAAAAAATACCACAAAGCCTCTGGAGTTTGAAAACAGACGTTGAACTTCAGGAAATTCCTTTCATCTGGACCATAAATTAGACTGATTAATAAGAAATGCACCTACAATATTTTTTTCCCATGGAAGAAGGCTCTCAGTGCTATCATACCTTAACAGTGATGTACAGTACGGCCTAAATAAATCATCTGTAAACTACTTTTGTTAATGTAACATTTAAAACAGTTAACAAATATACTTCAATGAAATACTATTCACTATAGCAGCTACCGCCCTGGTTAGTCAGAGGGTGTCTGTAAAGAGCCCATAGAGATAAGATTGTTTCATGATTCTTATGTGATCAGCTGGACTGGGTGATGATCAGAGTGCGCAAGGGTTAGAAACTGTCAGGTGCATCCCTGCAGGTGAGATTCTCAACACTCCATGTCATGTTTACCAGGATAGGTAAGGAAGGTAAATCAGTCAAAGGGGAAAACCAAGAGAAATAAAAAAAACACTTTCAATGAGACTCTGTTGCCAGACCATTCATATAGAAAAACAATTTTCTAATAAATGTATATGTGCATTTTATTTTATGCATGTTGTTTACCTGTAAGGCATGTAAAAGGCCTCAGACTGCTGCTGGGTGCGGTCATTGTGAATGTGATAGCAGCAGCCCCAGCAGACTTTGAGCTTTCACTCTATAGCATTCATTACTACACTAGCAGCTACATAAAAGGTTATGTACCGAGGTGAAGGGAGGGGTGGAGGAGTTGGGCCAGCACAGACAGTAATTAAGACACTCCCAGAAGAGGAGAGGGCTATGTTGTAATGTGGCAGGAAGGAGGGGAATACGCTAGGGAACTGACTCTTCCTGAAGAAGTCAAATTTGCTAGCAAATTCAAAAGGTAAATTGCAAGTTAATTAAGATTTCTTTAAGAAAATGAAAAACATGGCGAGTAAGAATTTAAAATTCTTGATTTTCTGTACATCTTTCTACAGTGATTGTGGTCTCTAAAGCTGGCCATACACTGCTCAAATTTCAGCTGACTCAAAAGGAAATGTAAGCTTTTTCAGTCGACTTTTGTGGAAAGAGCTGGTCGAACAGTGACTGCAACCAATCAACTGCAGTCACTGTTCAAATATTCTGATGGCTGTGGGTGAGACTACAACAGACCAGCAGGGAAATCGATTATTTTACCTTGTTAAGCCTCTGGAGCGGAACGAGAAAAAACACCAAGAGGGGAACGTATCAAAACTGGAGCAGACAAAATCTGGAGCAGCTGTGCATGGCAACCAATCAGCTTCTCTCTTCAGTTTGTTCAGTTAAGATTTAAAAATGAGAGCGAGAGGCGCCGATTGGTTGCCATGCACAGCTGCTCCAGATTTTGTCTGCTCCAGTTTTGATAAATTCCCTTCCAAATGTATGGCCAGCTTAAATAGAGTGGGGATGGGTTAGAACTGCTCTGTCAGGTTACTGTTACTGTTGTCAATGTCAGAAGGTCAAGTGACCTGGAACCAGATTACTGTGGGAAACTCTGTATACCTGGTGGCTAGGGCAATGAGACCAAAAGTTAAACTGTCAACCGTCTCAGGTCTGAATATGACTTGTCAGAGGTGGATCTGAAAACAGATGGGTACGAAAGCAAATCCTAAAACATAGACAGAGATACAGCTCTATGTATTCTGCCTAGGAAAGCTATAGAAGTAAATGTGAACTATATTACTATTTTTTGTTAGTTTACAATGACATCCATAAGTGAATTTCCATGGAATCAACATGCAAATTCTATAGGAATGCACATATAAAAAAAATTACACATTAAACTTTCAACAGTGCAATGCAGGCTGGTCAATTCTTGAATTCTTGGCACAGGCTGTGCCATATTTCAAATTTTTCCTCTAAACAGTTAATACATCAATAGAAGTAATGCCTCCTGTAATAGGTGTGTCCCCAGTACGTCATAGAATAATAAATAAGGAAGACCTTACATGCCTTACATTACACCCATCAAATATTCACTTTAAAAGAAAACAATAGATCGGCTTGTCCGGAAAAGAACATTTCCTATGGGTTCTCATTTTCTCTATAAATAAGTCAGAGCTGCAGCTGTTGTAAAGGGTCCCTGTGGGAACTACTTCCGCAGAATGAAAGAGAAAATGCCAGATAACTCCAAAACAGAAACCAAATGGGACTGACTGGTTCACGGAAGAGATAGCTTTCTAAAGAATAAAGCAAGGCAATGTATACTTTTGCAGCTCTTTTCTTTTGGTATTAGTATTTTAAATATAAAATTTACATTTTTAACGATCAACGGGACTTCAGAAAAGTTGAACAAAAAGCAGTGTTTTAGGACCCATTCACACCATAGCGTGGAGATTATGGATGTTCAGATACCAAGTACAAGTACAGATACTTTTCCAGCTCCAAGACTAGACTAGAGAAAAACTAAAAAGTCAGGATGCCGCCGTCATTTCTAGGGAGCACACAGAGCTTCTGGGATTTGTGCATCTGTGTATGATTTTTGTTTTTTATAAACATATATTAGGGATGCACCAATACCATTTTTTCAAGTACAAAGTACTGATACTTGTTCAAGTACTCACAGATAAAAGTACCGATACATTTTTGTTTATTGTCATGTGACAGTTTTTCTAAAACAATACAGACTTATGATTTCAGAACAGTGGTGGAGCGCCAGAGCTAGGTCCCAGCTGCAACCTCTGCAACCCTGGTAGTTCTACTGAAAATGCCAAGTATCGGCACTGGTGTCTAAACTGGTATTTGAACATCCCTAGTGGAGATAATGGCATATTTTGTGTGATTAACGTACACTATCGCACAGATGAGTTGTGTTGAAAAAAAAGACAGGGTGAAGATGGAGGAGACTGGAGGGCCAATGACGGTAGCTGAGGAGGCGGAAGATGGATGAGACGTTGATTGGGTGCCGAGGCAGCGGAGGAGGCCTTTTTTCCAGTGCCAGGTAGGATGACTGTGCTGGCAGGGCCCAGCATAGATTCTGCTCAGCCCCCCTGAGATCTGGCAGACTGCAGGGTCTCTGCAGGATCTGTTCGGACGCCTGGCGGAGATCGAAGAGGCGGGGTGAAGATGGAGGAGACTGGAGGGCCAATGACGGTAGCTGAGGAGGCGGAAGATGGATGAGACGTTGATTGGGTGCCGAGGCAGCGGAGGAGGCCTTTTTTCCAGTGCCAGGTAGGATGACTGTGCTGGCAGGGCCCAGCATAGATTCTGCTCAGCCCCCCTGAGATCTGGCAGACTGCAGGGTCTCTGCAGGATCTGTGGGGGGGCTTTGCAGGATCCCTAAGGGTCTCTGCAGCCTGCAAAGCCCACCACAGACCCTGCACAGCCCCCCTGAGATCCGGCAGACTGCAGAGTCTCAGGGGGACTCTGCAGGATCTGTGGGGGGCTTTGCAGGATCCGTGGGGGGCTTTGCAGGATCCGTGGGGGGCTTTGC